CCCAGGAATTTGAAGCTGCAGTGAGCCAAGATTACACCACTGCATTTCAGCCTGGATGACAGAGAAGACCCTGTCTCAGAAACAGCCACCACTACCACCGCCACCACCACCACAGCAACAACAGCTAACAATTGTTTTTCAATGCTTTAGAGAACATTCATCTGCTAGAACTCAGACACAGCCCTGTGGAAAGCAGGAAGAGAAACCAATCAAGTTAGTTTTTTCCAACATAAAAAAACAGAACCTCAAAATAGTAATCAAGCTCCATTAGAGAAATAAATTTGCATGCTTTACGATACAGAGATTGTGAACTGAAATATATCCACTACGTTTTCAAACAATTATCCTTGTCAGTATCAATTTAAATCATATTTAAAATTGTATATCCACTAGGTTTTCAAACAATTATCTTTGTCAATATCAATTTAAATCATATTTCTCAAGCGGGTTAACTTATTTTTCTCTCTGAAAGTGGTAGAAACTATAAAGATGAGGAAAATAGCAATTTGAAATCAGTTTTATCAATAAAAACAATAAGTCAAGGAATTAATTTTTTTAATATTAAAAAAAGAACAAAACAACATAAACAACAATGGGAAATCATCAACCCTAACCTAGGAATTAAATTGGTTTTAAAGAATTATATTGCCAGGCGCGGTGGCTCAAGCCTGTAATCCCAGCTCTTTGGGAGGCCGAGGCGGGTGGATCGCGAGCTCAAGAGATCGAGACCATCCTGGTCAACATGGTGAAACCCCCGTCTCTACTAAAAGTACAAAAAATTAGCTGGGCATGGTGGCGCATGCCTGTAATTCCAGCTACTCAGGAGACTGAGGCAGGAGAATTGCCTGAACCCAGGAGGTGGAGGTTGCAGTGAGCCGAGATCGTGCCATTGCACTGCAGCCTGGGTAACAAGAGCAAAACTCCGTCTAAAAAAGAAAGAGAATTATATCAATTGTTTCAGAAAAAAGAAGCCCATTTAGGGTTTATCAATGACATATTCATAGGAAATGTATTCTCATTTATTCTCTCATTTTTTTTTTCTAATTATCTTACTCTAAAAGGGAAGAGACTTTCTTCATTAATACAAAAAAGTGGTAGTGTGCCTATTGTGATGTATAAATTATTTCAAATATAAGTTGTGGCTGTTGCGACATTCACATGATTATTATCACATGGGAAAACAAGACCTTTATTTAAATTGCATTTTAGGTTCTGGGGAACATGTGCAGATCATGCAGGGTTGTTGCATAGGTACACAGATGGCAATGTGATTTGCTGCCTCCATTCCCTCGCCACCTATATTTGGCATTTCTCCCCATGTTATCCCTCGCTAACCCATTCATGCCCCACTGTCCCTACCCTAGACCCCCAACAAACCCCACTGTGTGATGCCATTTGCCCCCTCCAAGCAAATACAACACAGTCCCTAGGATACCTAGAAAACATTTGAATAGGAAGAAAGCAAAACCTCAAGTTTTCCCAGTCCTTGTTTTTAAAAACTCTAATTCTGTTGAGAGACATTTTGCTTTTGGGAGTCACTTTACATTACAGATGATGCAATATGTAACATTTTAATTACTTCAGGTTTCTACCTGTATTCCCTAGCGAGAAAGCCCCATAATGAGAAATCCAACGCTTATAAATCCTTCTGAATTATTCATTGATCATGGCAGATAAGATGCTCCCAAGAAGATTTTTTTTCTCATGCACAGGTAGGTATATGCACAGGGAAAATCAATGTGTTTTTATAAAATCTGTCTAAATTGTCAGTTCTCTAAACTGTCCTAATTTCTAGTAGGAAGGTTTCTAATTCTGTGGAAGGTTTATAGGAAGTGTTTTAGAAAGGCTTCTCTGTGGCAATAGAAGTTGGACGTGGATAGTGCTTTGGACTTGATGCCCCCAGTGCAAGAACTACAATTCAATTAGTGAAAGAAATGTATATTACTTTATTTGAACAAGAGAAATCCTACACATCAAGTGTGTCACTAAGTGGTAACCAAAAAAATAGTGTTTCCGTTTCATTTACTAAAGATATTTTCTTGGTAATACAAGTGATATCATCAATTTCTCTTTCTTTGTGTCTCTGTCTTTCTGTCATACACATGTACACAGTCATTGAATTAAACTTTTATGCAGGATGAGCATTTATACAATACCAACAATTTGTTTTCAAACTCAGTTATTGCCATAGAAGCCTTTTTGTCCACAGACATTAATAAATGATTCTACATTACTTAGAAACCACCAGGTTCCTTTTTCATTCTTCTTTCTCCAACCTAACTGGCTGGAGCTTCACACGAACACAGCCTGAGAGAACATGTCAGCTCTGTGTATCAGCTCTGTGTGTCATTTATAATTCTCTGCCCTGTTACAGGTAGCACTTTGAAGATGCTTTAAGTCCCTTGCAGTTTATATAATGGGCTCTGACACTTCGTAGGGTGACCAACCTTCTTGGTATGCCTAAGACCATCGGGTCTACCAAGGTGCAAACCTAACATTCCTAAACTAGAAAATATCGAGACAAACGGAGTGGCAGTTGTTCACCCTATATATATATCTCACCACAACCGATAGTAAATTTAGATGGATTTCATGAGAGTATCAACCATTGGAATCTCATTGTGTTACCCAATTCAAATTTGTCATTAAACATCTATTAAAGTTTGAAACCTTCTTGGAGACTTAACTAATTTGGCTTGACTTTACTCATTGATACACTCAGCATTTAAGTGCCTGCAGACCAGTATTATTTATTTTTTTCTTGTATTTTGGACTAGAGTGGCCGTAAGTGAAAAGAGGGCAGTTACAAATGTTTTCACAAAATGTATATTTTCTTAATCACCAACTAAACCAACAAAGCTGTAAAAAATGTTTCCTCAGAATGTGTGCAAAGAGTAAACCCATAATGTTGTTTCTTGAACTTTCCTTCAATCACTGCCAACCTTCCAAGAAAGGAAGAAAATAATGTCACATTTTCCCAATCTCTATTTTATTTCTGTCCTGTGAATTCCAACAAAGAGATGAGTAATGGGAGAAGCATATATAATTAAAAAACTAAGGCCAGGCACGGTGGCTCAAGCCTATAATACAAGCACTTTGGGAGCCTGAGGCAGGTGGATCATGAGGTCAAGAGATCGAGACCATCCTGGTCAACAAGGTGAAACCCCGTCTCTACTAAAACTACAAAAATTAGCGGGGCGTGGTGGCGCGTGCCTATAGTCCCAGCTATTTGGGAGGCTGAGGCAGGAGAATTGCTTGAACCCAGGAGGCGGAGGTTGCGGTGAGCCGAGATCGTGCCATTGCACTCCAGTCTGGGTAACAACAGTGAAACTCTGTCTCAAAAAAAAAAAAGAAAGAAAACTAAAATAAGGGCAATTACTAGGGAGTGAGGACAGAAAAACAGAAATCAGATGATAGGGAGCAGGAAAAGGGATGCGTCTTCACAGACAAGAAACAGGATTTTAGTAATAGCTATTGATTCATGAAAGGTGAAACAGTGAGTTTCCTGGAAAGCATTAAATAAATTAATAATAACAAAACTAAACAAAAGAGCCTTACACTTAAATATGTGACCAACGACATTTACCTCAAATTATGAATTAAGCTGGTAAGAGTATACACTGGTATACATGATCTAAAATTAGTGTGTGTTTTTGTATCGAGTGACACAGTTTGGCAGGAACAAAGTTGCTTTCCAAGAAGGGGTTTGGTGAAAGGCTTCTAGTAAGAAGGAATTGATGAAGATGCTATTATAAATGCATAAAGGTAGAATCAATTATAAAAAGTATGGTAATAGTAGCTAACACTACTTAGTGTTTCCTGTGTGCTAGATATTTTTTACACCCTTTCCTTGTATCATCCTTACAAAAGCTTTATGTTTTTTTCAGAAGAGGAAACAATCTTCAAGACATGAGTAACATTTTAAAGCAAACAATCAAATCATATTATGCTGTATCGTAAGTGAGATACTAATCTTTAAAGAAAAATATTCCTTGCAAATGTTTATATTAGGGCTAGAGCTGAATATATAATTTCTGTTACTGATCCAAGGTATATTTGTATTGCCTCTGAAAGTTCTGTGGAAAAATATACTAGAAAATTTTCTACATTCTATTGTACTACTATGCTTTGGAATATCTTAAAGATATTTTTTCATGTAATATCTCATTCATCTTCTTTATACTTTTATGAAGTAGGTCAAAATATTCACTATTTAGGTAATAGAGAAACCATTATATGGTTGTTTTTATGCAAATTGTATGAATCTGTGTGTACGTGTGTGTGCATGATTCGTCCAATAGTTACTATGTAGTGTGTAGGATACATATTTATGTGTGTGTATTTTTATTATTTTGTATTTATTTATTTATTTTTGAGATGGAATCTCACTCTGTTATCCAGGCTGGAGTGCAGTGGCAGGATCTCAGCTCACTACAACCTCTGCCTCCCGGATTTAAGCAATTCTCCCTGCCTCAGCCTCCTGCGTAGCTGGGATTACAGGCCCAGCCACCAGATCTGGCTAATTTTTTTTTTTTTTTTTTTAGTAGATGGGTTTTTGCCATGTTGGCCAGGCTGACCATGAACTCCTGACCACAGGTGATCCACCCGCCTTGGCCTACCAAAATGCTGGTATTACAGGCATGAGCCACTTTGCTGGCCTCAATTATTTTAAAATGAATGCTACATTTTACAACTACTTTTCTTTTTCTGAATACATAACACACTAAAATGTAGTACTCAATAAACGAGGCCAGAGAATGTTAAAAACTGAAAGCCAAAGTCTTTTATTTCTAAAATAAAATTTTAGGTATTTCTACTGAAGTCATTTCCATTTTGCTAAAAAAAGAATAAAAGAAAAGAAAAGAAAATTAACTTACAAGAACATTTGAGACTCATATTAAACATTTTTACTCATCTCATCTAGTATGTTTATAGTAATTCAAGAAACACACAATCCTAATATGAGATTTTTATGTGTAACTCTCTTGACCGTTACAGGTTCAGAGCCTTCCTCACACAAGTGCATGACTTTCTTAGCCATTATTGGATGCTCAAGTTATACAGTGTAATGAAAGATTCTTCACAAAAACTCCGAGAGAAACCAAATGTTTCCTATGACTCTTCTTTGGTCACCTGATGATAAAGTAAAAACTATTAAGAAAAAACAAAAATATTAACTTTGTTTTCTAAAGGCATAAAGGAGAATGTCAAAATATAATTGGGATTATGTTAATAGACTTATATAGAATGCTTAATGTTAGTGAAAGTCAGTGGGTTTAACCTATCTGATGATTTTGACAAATAAGAAAATTGGATCTCAAATTAAAAAAAAATAACTGAGTAAGAACAGAGCTTGGCATTTTCATCAGTTTATCCTTTTATGATACTTTATGTATATTATCTTTCTTAATTTTCATGACTCTCTAAGGCATATCCTTTCAGCATCCCTATTTACACATGAAGAAACTGAAACACAGGGCTTAAGTCTAAGGTCAAATGCACACCTAGTAGATAGCAGAGTAGCAGAGCTTAAAATTAAACCCAAGAACCTCTAGCCATTTTACTATTAATGAAATATTTCAATTTTGTTAATATATAATATCTAACAGAACAAATGGATCACCTGAGTCATTAATTTTCATTCTCTCTCAGCTTAACCTCAGTGGAGACCAGCTGGGAAGTGATAAAATACTTTTCTAACTTGCTTTTAGGTGGCAAATATAGGGTAGTTTTATGGAGGGTGATCAGTTATGCATCCTCTTGGTTCATGAATAAATGTAGCATAAGTAGAAAATTACTACTTGTAAATTAGCTCAAGATATTTAAAGTAGAGTATAAGACTCTGCTAGAGGGTAACGAGAATCAAGATAACTGTCTTAAATCGATGCAGTCAAAAACCAAAAATACCTTTCTCCCTAATGTCTTAACAATTTTTTAGCCTCCTTGTACATTTTATGGATTTTATTAATGAAGCTTATATACTGAGGGAAGAATAATGTCCTTTGCCCAGTATTTTATTACTCTTATGTTACTCACCCTTCTAAGACAGAGAGGAAAGAAGAGACTGGCATAGAATTTGCTAATCCTTTAAAAACAACAGAGAATAAGATTCTAAAGAGGAGATGATTCTTGAGTTCACGTTTATCAGACTTGTTTAAAACAGAGATATGGCTGGCAGTGATTAAATTTTTTTAGATTGATATAAACAAAATTAATAATTGCCTAAATAACCAAAAAGCTATTCTTTTTTGATATGTGTAATGATTTTATGTTAAGGCATGTATATCTTTTTATCAAGTCATTTTTCTAATTACTGTTTCAATTTTGCAAGATGATTAAATGGAGGTATCATTTAACTTTCTAATTGTGGAATAGTATTTTTGGTGTGTTTTGGCCATAGCTTTAAATAAGCACTAATATGTGATAGATCATCTAAGCTCTACAAGTAGAGTGAATTAGTAAAATGTTAGCACCTTCTGAAAGTTAGGGCCAGTGTTAAGCTTTTGTCTTTCCAGGATATGGCAAAAATAAAAATTATGCTTCTGAAATCTCTATTTTTAGGCATGCAGAAACTAGACCTCATAAGTTATATCACTACATTTCTGAATTTTTGCCTTATTTTACCACTTTCTAATTAAAAATCTTGCATATATATTTATATTTATATGTAGCAGAAAGAAATCCTGCTAACAAAAGACGTATGAGAAAGAAGAGAGGAGAGATAAAAGGAAAATTAGCAAAGGTGTTGAAAGGAAGTGAGTTAGAAAAATATAAATGTAGAATGATAATATTCCATGCATGTTTACTTATTTATATTTGTTTTATTAGATAAAATGCATCTATCTCTGGATCAGATTCAAGAAAATGGTCAATTTCACTGATGTGACAGAATTTATTCTTTTGGGATTAACTAGTCGTCCTGAATTACAGCTCCTTTTCTTTGTGGTTTTCTTACTGGTCTACATTGTCACTTTGGTCGGGAACATTGGCATGATCATATTAATCAGGGTCAGTCCCCAACTCAATAGCCCCATGTACTTTTTCCTCGGTCACTTGTCTTTTGCAGATGTGTGGTTCTCCTCTAATGTCACTCCTAAAATGTTGGAAAATTTGTTATCTGAGACCAAAACCATTTCCTATCCTGGATGTATAGTGCAGTGCTTTTTCTTCATTGCTTTTGTCCACGTAGAAGTCTTCATCCTTGCTGTGATGGCCTTCGATAGATATATGGCGATTGGAAACCCTCTACTTTATGGCAGCAGAATGTCAAGAACTGTCTGTATTCGACTGATCTCTTTCCCTTATATATATGGCTTTTTTATCAGCTTGATCTCAACACTGTGGACCCATGGTTTGTACTTCTGTGGAAACACCGAGATCAACCATTTCTACTGTGCAGATCCAGCTCTTATCAAAATGGCCTGTGCAGGGACTTTCATTAAAGAATACACTATGCGCACATTGGCAGGTCTCAACTTCTCTTATTCCTTATTGGTCATTTTCGTCTCCTACATTTTCATCCTCATTGCCATCTTAAGAATGCACTCAGCAGAAGGGAGAAAGAAAGCTTTCTCCACGTGTGGATCCCACTTGACAGCTGTCACCATATTTTATGGAACTCTCTTCTTTATGTATCTTAGAAGCCCAACTGAGGAGTCCGTGGAGCAGGGGAAAATGGTGGCTGTTTTCTATACAACAGTCATTCCTATGTTGAACCCCATGATTTACAGTCTCAGGAACAAAGATGTAAAGGAGGCCATGAGCAAAGTGATGAGTAGAGCATTTTAAAATAAATAAGAACTTAAAATGTACTACGAACTTCTGGTTCATTAGAAGAGGCAGAAATTAATAATTTCTTTTACATAATTTTTAAGAAATGTGTTATTTATATTTTCAGTGATAAATAAAAAATAATAGATAATTGGAAAAGGGATAAAGTTATCCAGATACTAGAAGTTTATTGTAAACAAGACCCTCTGAGTCATAAAATCTGAAATGATGAAAATATGTTGACAACACTGTCTACAGATTTTCCTTTCCACACAATGTCAAATTCAGTAGGCTATTTTATAACTGGGGAAGCTATTTATGATTCTTTAATATTTCATAAATCTATTCTTTCAATTACATTTTCAAAACAACTGGAATGTTCTCTATGCGTGTTTTGTTTTTGCACCTAGAGTAGGTTTTGACTCTAGATTATGCTATTACTGCAAAATATAGAGGTAGAATATGGTTTCACCATTTATCATTGTTATAATGGGAAACAACACTCCTGACAATGGAATATATTATGTAGAATATATTATAAACTCTAAGTCAAATTAATTGTTGTATACTGCATGATTATTAATTTTCAAGTATATATTAATTCATTAAATTAAATTCATTTATAAATGACTAATTTAATATCTTCTGATACCCATTTGAAGTCTTATGTATGTCTTACCATCAGAAAGTGATGACATAATCCCACTGGTGTTTTGGAATTTAGAACGCGCTCCTCTAATTATATTTTAGTAAATTACTTTTTAAATGTTTTGAGCATTTATAGAGATATGTTTACTTTTTTTCTTTGGTTTTGTTTTGTGTTTTTGGGATTGGTGGTAGAAGAAACTAGCTGTCCCCTTAGAAGTCCTAGTGCATTCATTTCCATTATATATAACTTTAAAATTAATAAATCATAATTTTTGTGCAACAGAAGACTTTTTCTTTGTTATTTTATCATATTGTTGCCTCAGTTTTTAAAAACTTTGCTTTGAAAAACAGAAAAACAATTTAAGGCACAAAGAGCTGAGTTCGTGAATGTATAAAATCTATAATATTTCTTGTTGGGATTCATCATCGTTTATTTAGCAATAATTTTAACAAGACATTTTAAAAATTAAACTGAAGCTTTCACAAAGAATGCAAAATTATGCATTATAAATATGTACAGATACATGTACATATGTGTGTGTATATGTATATATATGTATATATACATGTGTATATTCATACATACATGTATATTTGCTCTGGGTATGCACGAGTGCTTGTAGTTCTGTGCTTTTTTCAGAGTAGTTAACTTGATCAAAATTTTTTAGAAGTTCCTCTTTAGAAATATCTTTCAGTACCAAACTTCGATATTACATAAAAGTAATATTACTTATATTATATTAAATAATTTAATTTATTATATTAGTATATTATATTCTATCATATGATACCTTTGTGTAGTATCTTATTTTCCCTTCTATTACATTTAAATTTATAAATGCCTACTTAATCAATAGACCTTTTTCCTCTATTTAGCTATATCCTGACAATAGATCTTAAACTTAGTCAATTTGAAAGGCAGATTATTTCCTCACTATTATACTTTAAATATGCTTATGTACTGGTGAAGTTAAATGTTATAACATGCTCCTCAGGCACTTGAATTATTTGAATGCTGTTTGTTGATGTTGCTTGTTTTTTCTTTCTTGGACTATTCATACATTTTTGAAATGAAGTGATTATCCTAATTACTTTCTGAATTTTAACTTACTGAATTTTGCTGAATTTTAACTTCTATCAGAGAAAAGATCATTTCTGACTTAATCATCACTGTAATACCAGTATCATAAACTCCCTACATAATACCTTAATAAATATTTGTTAATTACATAAATAAACTGATTATTAGTTATATATGCCACATGTTTTGTTTAAAGCTTTTGGCGGTGCTTTAGAACATATCTATATTTTTAATGTTTAGGTAGTCAGATATATCAATTTGGTCTTTCTAGTTTCTTTACTAATGTTATGATAGAAAGATCCTTTTTAAATTGTGGGTTTGCAAAGTCTGTTATATTGTCTGCAAGTCCAACTTCCTCTTCTTTTTTAGTAAAAAATAAAAACAAAACCCTACAAAACTAGATATATTTATCAGCTTCCTTTGCAGTTTTGGTGTCCAAGTGCCTGAGGTCTACTCAAGAGCATAAAGGCAGAAGAATTGTATACTGTTTTTAAGCCCAGCTCTAAAAGTCTTCCAGGATTCATCCTGTATTTCATCTTTTTTATTTTGTCTGTCCCACCCACAGTTGCAAACGAATGTCTCTGAGGCCCCAAATGATGATATACAGTCACAGGGTGAAATATTTGGTCACTGAATCACTGTGACGGTCTCCTGACAACATGCACATTTGCCTGTTATATGAGCAAGAAGTGAACTTCAACTATACTAAGCCATCAAGTTTTCAGAGACTGCTATGGCTGTCAGTGTTATTTTAACTAATATGGGTAGATTACATAACCAGTCATATAAAAGTTCACCTAATGCATGAACACTCAAAATATTTACAGTTGATTTAACTCATTGAGAATGTATTTTTGTATATGATCTGAGGCAATAATTAGGCTTAATTTTCATTGAAATTAAGCATCATCACTTATTTAATAATCCATCTATCCCCACTAATTTTTAAAAACAAATAATAATATACATAAAATTGTTTTGGTCTTTCTCAGCATTCTAAACCTTTGCTTAGTTAATTAATTGATTCATTTTACACATATTAGGTGAGTGACTATTATGTACTAGGTCCTGTTTTAGTTATTTGTTATCAATGAGCAAAAAAAAAGTTATCAATGAACAAAGAAAAAAGTTCTTGATCTCATGAGGCTTATATTTCAGTGTGTGGTGTGAAACATATGTAAACAATTAGTGTAATGCTTAAATGATTGTGTTAGACTGTGGGGCTATGGAGAATAATGAAGCAGAATAAAAGAGCAAAGGGGTACACCTGATGTAGGTGTGACAGTGACAGCAGATTTTATTGAACAGGTTATAGTTGAGTAAAAAACACACGTGGCAGCTAAGGAATTAGTTTTGTAGATTTTTGAGGTGCAAGGTTCTAGGCAGATGTGAAAGCCAGTGGAATAATAATAAATGCAAGCTGATATGATTAGGCTTTGTGTCCCCACCCAAATCTCATCTTGAATTGTAATCCCCATGTGTTAAGGGAGAGATCTGATGGGAGGTGATTGGATCCTGGGGGCAGTTTCTCCCATGCTGTTCTGCTGATAGTGAGTGAGTTCTCACAAGATCTGATGGTTTTCGATGCAGTTTTCCCTGCTCTTGCTCGCCCTTGTCTCTCCTGCAGTTCTTTGAAGAGGTGCCTGCTTCCTCTTTGCCTTCTGCCATGATTGTAAGTTTCCTGTGGCCTCCTTAGCCACATGGAACTGTGAGTCAATTAAATCCTTTGTTTATAAATAACCCAGTCTTGGGTAGTTATCTCTATAGCAGTAGGAAAAGAGACTAAAAAACAAGCATTCAAGAAGTGTTTCAAAGATAGCTTAGAAGCCATTTTGGGCAACGAAACATATATGAAATATGAGGTCAGAGACAAAAAAAAAGAAGAAAGATCAGAGGCATAATGGGATGAGTGACCAACGATTTAATATAGTTAATTTAGAAAAGTGGGAAGCCTCTGGAGGTTTCCTAGCAAAGGAGTGATATGAACTCACTTACGTTTTAAAAAGTCCTCTTCACTAAAAAAACCCCACACACTCAACAGGTGGCTTTTTCTCTAGAGATGTACTTCCCAAGGGGTCATTTTAAGGAAAAATTCTTAATTGCTCCTTGTTTTCTAAGGCAATCACTTAAGGGAGGCTTCTCTTGTGAGCTTCTCCCAATTTCTCTGACTCGGGTTGAAGGTGTTCATCATTCCTGCATATAGCATGCACTTTTCAACTCTATATCCTTATTGGGAATATTTCTCTTCATTCTCAGGTTGGTAAAAAAATGCATCTATCTGGAATTGTCAGATGAAGCTTGCATTGTAGATTTTATTTCTTTTATGATGTATAGGAATGCATTAATAATTTTATATATGTTATGTGTATATGTGTGTGAGATACATCAAAGCGATACATTTCAGTAAGATTATATTATTCTATAATTATAAATGATTAATGGAATGTGTCTGATAATTTTTATATCTATTATGTGTTAATATAAAATATCTCTCTTCGTAATCACAAGCAAACAATGAAATGGATATTATTATTGTTAAGTTATACTGAGAAACAGAAAAAGTAAAAACAAAACAAAACAAGAATAAAACATGTCCAGTTTCATAAAATATGTCATAGAACCTGGATTTAACTAAGGTCTGATGATGGCAACAGAACTCTTTAACTGAGATACTTAATATTGCTTCATAGCAGATCTGGAAAAGAATTCATATTTATTGGTAATTTAATTTGAAACAAAGTGATACGATAAAGGAAGAGGACGTGTGTGTTTTTGACATTAGGTAGTGAGGAAATCCTCTAAACACTCTTGAGTTCCCCAATTATCTATTTTTTGAAGACATTGCACCACCTAGGATCATATTGAACCACTAGTTTCTCTTAATTTTACTATTGCTCTTCATCACCTGGCTAACCATCACTCAGGGCTCTTTGTATTTAGCTTGTGGGGAGAACTGACAATACCATCTTCTACATCCTTGTTTGTGCTGAATCATCCTTGGTACTACAGAATGAGATATGATTTTCCAAATAAAAATCCCTCCATTGCTTGTCTTTGAAAATTACATTAAGAAGAACACTTCAGGCAGCCATAGGCATAAATTGTTGAATCAGATATCTGGAGTTATCGGTTGATATGTATGTAATCTGTCTGCATATGAATCTAAGGATCTTAGATATTTTAACAATTCTGTAACAGATTTTACAGCTTATTCAAAAATATATCCTAAGGCAGTTTACGTAGTTTTCAGAAATTCAACTATTATTCATTTTTAAAAATTTACCCACTAATTAATGCTTCAAGTTTTTATTAATTACACCAAAAACTCTGGAGTCATGTAGAATGTAATCTGTTTTAGTTGGTAATTTTCTTTTTTTTAATTGCATTTTAGGTTTTGGGGTACATGTGCAGAACATGCAAGATAGTTGCATAGGTACACACATGGCAGTGTGTTCTGCTGCCTGTCTCCCCTTCACCCACATTTGGCATTTCTCCCCAGGCTATCCCTCCCCAGCTCCCCCCGCACTGTCCCTACCCTATTCCCCCCAATAGACCCCAGTGTGTAGTACTCCCTTCCCTGTGTCCATGTGTTCTCATTTTTCATCACCCACCTATGAGTGAGAATATGCGGTATTTCATTTTCTGTTCTTGTGTCAGTTTTCTGAGAATGATGTTCTCCAGATTCATCCATGTCCCTACAAAGGATACAAACTCATCATTTTTTTTATTGCTGCATAATATTCCATGGTGTATATGTGCCCCATTTACCCAGTCCAGTCTATTATCGATGGGCATTTGGGTTGGTTCCAGGTGTTTGCTCTCCTCTATCTAGAGAAAAATTTTCTTTCCAAGTTTGTGGTTGAAAAGTTTTGGATTATCAATGTGGGTAAGTGTTCACTTATTTTCACAGTGAACGTTACCTTCTGCCTACTCTCCGAAGTTTTTGGTAACTGTTAACCAGTAATAATTATAAATAAATTTTTATCAAATTTGGTTGAACACAGTTTAACACTGCAGATTACAAGAAGGATCTTGGGAATAATTGTTTGCTTTAGTGACAATATGTAGCTATTAGAAGGTATGACACAATCCCATCTTCAACAAATGTATTGTCCTGCTGACAGGCTAGCTCAAGATTCTTATTAGACAGACTTGCACTCTGTGTTCTACAGAATGTGAATGTTCATTGACAAAATACCTAATTAATGAAATTTATCTCACACATATATGAGAGAAATATATACAAGCTATATGTATTTTTATAGACATATATATGTGTGTGTATATACATAGGTATATACATATAAAGAGAGGGACGTGGGCATGTGACTGTGAGTGTAAGTTTTAAGTTAAATGAATGAGGTGTACAGTAAACAACTTTACTAAGTAGATTGTGTATCACTAAGAGACTTGATAGAGCACAAAGATGTCCAATTGTATGGAGAAACATTGTGAATTATTCTCCATTATATCTATTACATCATGCCTAACACAATTGTTTTCTTAGAAATGTAATTTAAGAAACATTTTCTGGAAGTTTCCTACATGATATGTCCTATATTTGAAAATAAATTTGCAAAATATCCAAGAAAGCTTATTCTAGAATTCCACTGAATCCCTAAAGAAGAATCAATCACTTCTTAAATTTCTGTCCCTATTATAACTCTATAAGAACACATCCAAGTTTTAGAAACTTGGATTTATGTTAGTACTTTCATAAATACTGACATTAATCTGTATGTACTTATCTTTGAATCTCTAGAACATAGCAGTATATGATATTTAGTGGTGATGTTTATGATATTATTTCCCCATACCCAGGAAATGTTCACACAGTGTGAATGTGGAAAAATAATTCACCTTTAACTTGACTTTGATGGCTACTGTAATCAGTCTTTTGTTCTTCACTTGAAAAGAATGGAAATATGAGATTAGATTAAAAATATTGTTATGACATTATAGGCTGATAAATTGTTTAATCACATGGTTTTCTTTTCTAATCATTGAGAATATGCTTATGTTGAAAAAGAGATTAGGTTTAAAAAAGCACACGTGTTTAGTTCTATTACAAAAAGAACTACAATTCCCTGTAATTATCTTAAAAATATGAAACTCAAAACACGCCATCATTGGAAATGAGGGATATTTAAGAAGTAATGATAGAAATGTGATGACTCACAATACTTATTACCAGTGTATTTCAGTCACTAAACTTTGTATAATTGTTACATAATAGGGACTGTCTACAATTATTCACCACAGAGCCTAGTATATAACAGGTGCTGAGAAAAGATTTGTGGAAACAATGCAAAGTGTGATCACAGATATTGTATAAAGGGAGTATAAATAAAGGTATGAATTAATAAACAAAAATTCTAGTTTTTCCATTTATTTTATTTTATTTATCACAGAGATTTGTAACTCCTATTGACTTAGAATTGGAAAATGCTCAATTTCACCGACGTGACAGAGTTCATTCTTTTGGGGCTAACCAGCCATCAGGAATGGCAAATTCTCTTCTTCATCGTTTTTCTCGTGGTCTACATTATCACCGTGGTGGGCAATATTGGCATGATCATGTTAATCAAGGTCAGTCCTCAGCTTAACAGCCCCATGTACTTTTTTCTCAGTCATTTGTCATTTGTTGATGTCTGGTTTTCTTCCAATGTCACCCCTAAAATGTTGGAAAACCTGTTATCAGATAAAAAAACGATCTCCTATGCCGGCTGTTTAGTACAGTGCTTCTTCTTCATTGCTCTTGTCCATGTGGAAATTTTTATTCTTGCTGCGATGGCCTTTGATAGATACATGGCAATTGGGAATCCTTTGCTTTATTGCAGCAAAATGTCAAGGGTTGTCTGTATTCGACTGATTTCTTTCCCTTACATATATGGTTTTCTGACGAGTCTGGCAGCAACATTATGGACTTATGGCTTGTACTTCTGTGGAAAAATTGAGATCAACCACTTCTACTGTGCTGATCCACCTCTCATCAAAATGGCCTGTGCCGGGACCTTTGCAAAAGAATATACAATGCTCATAATTGGCGGCATTAACTTCACATATTCTCTGACTGTAGTTACATTCTCTTATTTATTCATTCTCATTGCCATTCTGCGAATGCACTCAGCAGAAGGAAGGAGGAAGGCCTTTTCCACATGTGGGTCCCATCTGACAGCTGTCATCATATTTTATGGTACTCTGATCTTCATGTATCTCAGACGTCCGACAGAGGAGTCTGTGGCGCAGGGGAAGATGGTGGCTGTGTTCTATACCACAGTGATCCCCATGTTGAATCCCATGATCTACAGTCTGAGGAACAAGGATGTGAAAGAGGCCATGACAAAAGTGATCAGCAGATCATGTTAAACAAAATGAAATCATTGTCTTCTATTGTTTGGAGAAATGTTATTGTCCAGTACCTAGAAACATTAAGATAAAGATATTCTGTGGGTTGAAAAGAAAAATGAAAGGGATGCAAATTGAGAAAATATAAGGTAGAATGAGTCATTTCTCTTGATGCGAGTAGTGGAGATTAATTAAAAATGAACAAATACATTAATAGAAAAGATGATGTGGGACAAAGTTCCTAGGTGTACTAATGGAAATTGCTCAAATACCTAGCTGCAATGAAAAGACTTTTTCTTATTCAAAAGTACAATTGCATTAATTTACAGAATATTTATTTACTTACTTAAAAACAAATTTGGGGCCAAAAAACCCCCATATCATGAAATTGTTTATTGTTTAACACTTCTTTTATTCCATGGGATCGGGTCTGGTCAGAGACTGCTACTTTGAAAATAGTAATGCAATTGTATTTCATGCTTTTTAACTTTTTGGTGTTTCTTAAGAAACACAACATGGTAAGTGTCTCCCTTTCACAGATCACAGTAACTGCTGTGTTTCAGTTCTAGGACTGCCAGTCACCAGACTGTGGTTTGCCCTGGCCAGTGGCTTCACTGTGACTGAAAAGTAGGAAAATTAGTGGAAGACGGTGTCATTGTAAAAGCATGGCTCTCCAAATTCCACAGAATGAATTCCATTCACACTTATGTGGGATATCCGGTACCCCTGTGACTAAGCTATGACGCTTACATATTCTAGTTAACCTTTGCATTTGAAATAAATTCAGTATTTGTGACACACTATTTGTTGTTATCAATAACATTTTCTAATATAATAGTAGAAAAATAATTTGACATCTCTCTTGCACCTTATTTCACTTATTTCACCAAAGTCTACGTCCTCAAACCAGATAAACATATATCACCTTCTGTTTTGATGCAAACAATATATAGCTAAAGAAATTTATATATTTTGATTTCTACATTTAAGTAATTAAAAATCATCTCCAAAGATGTGAATATAAAACAAGATTGGCGCCATCTGAGTAAAAAGCATTCTTTTTTATTTAGCTTTTAAGTTCAAGGGTACACGTGCAAGTTTGTTAGATAGGTAAACTTTGCCATAAGGGTTTGTGGTACAGATTATTTTGTACCCAGGTACTAAACCTAGTATCCATCAGTTATTTTTCCTGATCGGCTCCCACCTCCCAATCTCTACCCTCTCATAAGCCTCAATGTGTGTTGTTCCTCTCTATGTGTCCGTGTGCTCTCATCATTTAGCTCTCACTCCTAAGTGAGAACATGAGGTATCTGGTTTTATGTTCTTGCATTAGTTTGCTAAGGATAATGGTCTCTAGCTCGATCTATGTTCTCATGTAAAGGACAAAATCTCTTATTTTTTTCCTTATGGCTGCATAGTATTCAAAGGTATACATTTTCTTTATGCAGTCAATCACTGATGGGCTTTTAGGCTGATTACACGTGCTTGCTATTGTGAATAGTGCTGCAATGAATATACCCATGCATGTTTCTTTATAGTGAAACAATTTATATTCCTTTTGGCATATACCCAGGAATGGAATTTCTGGATATTTCTGTTTTGAGGTCTTTGAGGAATCACCACACTGTCTTCCATTGTGGTTTAACTAAGTTTTATAGTTCAAGGATCATATGAAAAAACTCAACATCACTGATCATTAAAGAAATGGAAATCAAAACCACAATGAGATACCATCTCACACCAGTAAGAATGGCAATTATCAAAAAGTCCCCACCCCTAAAAAAATCAGATGCTAGTGTCGTTGCGAAGAAAAAGAAATGTCTATATGCAATTGATGGAAGTCTATAAAAGTGTTCTTCTTTATTCATTATTGAATTTTATTTACTTCAAGAGAAACCACAAATCCAATGAACTCATTTCAACATGCATACACATAAATCATGGGCAACGTTTTAAAACCTTTTGCATATATAAACAAACTGCTAATTTAGATTCAATTGTAGTATTACCGTGTCTCTGCCTGAAAGATGTTAAACCTTGAGAGACTTTAATATGTAAGGTACGGGAAATTCTTTTGGAATTACTCCAAAGTTAAAAGCAGTTTATTTTGGCAATAAAAACACTGATTTGCCATTTTTGGGGAACTCTTGATATACCAAATTAGTTTCTTATTATTAATAAATTTCAGAATATATTTTGAAAGCATTCTATCACCTGTAGCGTGTTGGCAGTTAAATTTGAACGATCTTTGTTATCTCTTTAAAGGTGAAATGCGTTTCCTGTTTATTTGTTTAAAGAGTTAGTTTCGTGTTACATAAAGAATAATGAGTCAAGGTCAGTGGTCAAATTACGTTTCTGGTTTCAGTTTCCAAATTTCAAGTGAATTTGTGGATGACCTTGGACAAGTCCCATTTTGTCACCCATCTAATTACTTTTAAGGTTGTAAACTTTGATCTCATTGCCATTTCTGCCTAATAATTTTCACTGGTCTCCATTCTTTGGCAGAGCTTAATGCAATTTTTCCATTTGAACTTCAAGATATTTCTGGAAAATACTTTTAAAAATAGATAGTATTGTCACACTTATTTCAACATCTATTAGTTTAATATTTATGCATTTCCAACATCTAATCAGGAAGCCAAGTTTTCTCTTTCTCTGTTTCTCTTCTATATTTTTCCCTTTCTTTCTTTCTTTCTTTCTTTCTTTCTTTCTTTCTTTCTTTCTTTCTTTCCTTCTTTCTTTCTTTCTTTCCTTCTTTCTTTCTTTCTCTCTCTCACACACACACGCACACACACACACTCACACACACTTTCTTATTTTTCAGTCTACATTTTCTTGAGATATTGTATCTGAAGTCAAAACTGCCTAGTGTCAAACTCATCTAATAAACTTTCTCAATAGTGGGGTCTGGTTGGGGGCGGCCAAGAGAGGGTCAGCACAGGGAGAAATGTCAGATGTAGGTGACGGCGGGTGTAGGCAGCAAACCGCATTGCCATGTGTGTACCTGTGCAACAATCCTGCATGATCTGCACTTGTACCCCAGAACCTAAAGTACAATAATATATATATAATATATATTTATATATATATATAAATATATAATATACATAAGTAATACATATATAAGTATTATATGTATATGTAATGTATTATATGTATAAGTAATACATATACATTAATAATATATGTAAGTAAATACAATAAATGAAGACTCTGTATTTTGAACTCTGAGAACGCCACAACTTCATAGATACTGCTGGTTTTCTGCAATTAGCAACATGAGTCCTGACTCAAGGAAGTTGCTCTCCAGTCCAGATTAGCAAAAGACAGAGAGAATGGGCTCTGCACAAGACGCATCCAGACAAGCCATGATTCATGCCACCTGCAGCCACACAGGTGTCAATACCAAGAACTTGCCATATGTCATAAAGAGTGTATCAAATGAAACCTTCTCAAGAGTTATTCTTTTGTGCTCTGTCCAAATCTGGAGAAGCCTTCCAAATACTGTTAAAGTTGCTATCTTGAGCATATAAAAAGTATTTTAAAAAATAGGTGAGAAGAAATTTATAAATTCTGGGTACTTTAGCACCAAAAAACTTTGCCCAAGCACAATTCTGTTCATAATTTTCCAGACTAAATGGACGAAGTATACATTTTAGAGTTTACATAATCTAAGTTTGCACCCACATTCTTTGGCTTGATAGTATCCAAACAGAATGGAGGGTAGTGGTAGGGAGAGGAGCAAAAAAATAACTATCAGGTGCTATGCTTATTAGCTAGGTGATGAAATCTGTACCCCAAGCCTCAGTGACACCCACTTTGTTGATATAACAAACCTGCATATGTACCCCTAAACCTAAAATTAAAAAAGGAAAAAACTAACATCACAATTTTTTTTTTTGAGATGAAGTCTTGCTCTGTCACCCAGGCTGGAGCTCAGTAGCATGATCCTGGCTCACTAAAACCACTGCCTCCTGGGTTCAAGTGATTCTCCCACCTCAGCCTGTCAAGTAGTTAGGATTACAGGAACCCACCATTAGGCCTGGCTAATTTTTGTATTTTTATAGAGATGGGGTTTTACCATGTTAGTCAGGCTGATCTTGAACTCCTTGACCTCAGGTGATCCACCTGCCTCGGCCTCCCAAAGTGCTGGGATTATAGTCAAGAGCCACCAAGCCCGGCACATCATACTTGTTTCACATAGGAATACTTTTATACTTCAATGTAAGGATAATATTAATCACAACCCTAAATAAGTGGTAAGATAATACCAGTAAACTATTTAGAGGTAAAACTGTACAAATAAGGACAACTTTTGTGTGATTCACATACAGCAGGCGTTGGGAAGAGTGTTATCCCTATATTATTCTAAAATCATCTGAACAAAAATATAAGATAATAGTTTCCGTATTCTACAGATGAGTACTTTGAGACTCAGAAGTACATTGCTTGTTCAAGGTGACATAGTGAAAATGGTATAGCAAAGGTATAATTCCAGAACTGTCTGACTTCAGTAATGACTTCTACTTGTAGTCGTCATTCTGCCAATGATTTGTACTTTGAGTATCTGACATCTAAACACAACCATGAGATGCATGGGACATGCACTGGTATGATCATCTATCCTGACAGACGGTGCTTTTCAGAACAGTTGTTCAACCAGAAAGAAAGGGAATCACTGAAATTTTATATAATGTAAACCAATATTTTGCTGAGATGCATGGTTGTCAATGTGTAAATAAAAGAGGACAGAACCCATGTGAAAGTGAGAGATAAGATTATGTCAGGATCAAGAATTTTGGTTTATTTTATTTAAAAATTTTCTTCTCATCCATGCTTCTTAACTGCTTCTATGCCTGAGCTGTGTATAGAATTTTACTTATTATTCCTTTCATAATTATCTGGAGAGTCCTTTAGGGAGATGATCCCAGTGTTCCTACGTTTAAGATACTGTTATAAATAGTGAGAAGTTATCATTTGCTACTCTCTCTACTGAAGGTAGGTCTGCAAGTTCTTCACTTTTTGCAATAGAGATCGATGCAGTCAAATCTTTTAATTTCACTCTCTGTCTTGAAGAGGAACCTAATACATCATTCACAGTCTTATTTGTTATCAGAGTATTTATATTACTGCAAACTTTTTATACTTCTATCCCTGGTTTATTGAAAACTTTGTAAGAATGAGCTTATTATAATGCAGATTTGCAAAACTTTTTAATTTATTTTTTGTCTTCTCATTCTCCTTTACAAGCAAAAACTATTAACTTTCATAATATTGTTTAACTATATATGTGAATTGAGTTGGGGTTATAGGGTCAGAGGGCATGATTGGTCCAATTGTTTATATCTTCACTATTTTTCTTCATGGATAATTCCTAAAATATTAATAGAAATAAATTTTGGTTTTTATTTATAAATTACAATTTCAATCTTCTTGATTATTTTGATAGATGATACACATTTAGGTATTAAATGTATTTTCTCCTGGAAATCATTGTCATATGATCCTGGGATGATGAGGTCACCTAAACTTGGAGAAGTAGAGAGTTGCGATGATCTACTATCTTAGTGGTCCAGGCTGCTCCGGATAACCAAAACTCTTAAAAGTCTATTAAAGATGAACTATTAAAGAGATAACTTCCTCCCATTGTGGAGGATGAACAAACTGAGTGTTAAATGAAATGTAATGGCAGAAGAGGCTATCAAAGAGGCAGCAACAGAAGGTCGTTAAACACATAACACTGAAGTAATTTTTTTTTTGCATCCCATTCCTGCTAATTAGTAGACTTCTGACCCAGGGAGAC